ATATATATATATAATGATTTGAAGTTTTGCTTTAACAGCTCATGTATTGAAATAAAAGTTCAAATTAAGATTACAAAATAGCAAATTATATCATTTCAAGAATTTTTTCTTTGTCAGAATTTCTTGCGATTTATTTAGTTTCATCCAAATTATTTATTTCAACAAGTATAAATTTATCACATTTTTATGAAGAATGAAGAGTTTTAGAATACATTTTAAATCACAATTTGAAAACAAAAACTCGAGTCGAATAAATAGAGTTTTTAACTTTTTGGACATTTTGGTTTTCCTCGGACCGGTTTAGTAGTTTTGTGTCCCTTTTTGTTGACGCACCAACAGAATCCAGTTGATCCATGGCACTGAACTTGTTTGTAATTACCTTTTTTATCACAATCTGGAATGAAGTTGCCAACTATACCTGAAATGACAAAATTGCATTAATTAGTAAACTAAAATTGAGGGCAGAAACAATATTTTGTAGCATCGAATTTGGAAATAAGTTTGGAAGTTCTTAAAGTTTTAAGTTTTCATGATTCTTTTAAATTTGATTTCTCTGAATCACTTTATGTGTAAGCAATAGGATAGCTCGATCTACTTTTGTGATTTTAATTTTTATGTTAGAAAAATAAATACATTTTATTTCAACGCTTTCAATCTAAAGAGTCAACTGTTTGATTTTTTTATAAAACCACTCTAAAAAACTTTTTTCGAACTTTTGAAACATAGCGCAGCCCATCGTTTCAATTAATTAATAAAAATCAAATTTATTGAGGCCGAATAGTTGGAACAATAGAAAAAGAAGTAATAAATACATTTAAAATGCTTTTATTTTTCTGAGCTCAGTCTGTTTGTTTTAATATAAAGTAATTATTATAAATTATTAAATTTTGAGAAAAGGAAAAAAAGGGTATTGTTGGAACTATTTCATTTTTTTTAAATACATTACGAATGGCTGTTTTCTATTACTTCTGTAGTATTTCGATTTGTAACACAGAAAAAAATAGCTAAGAAAATTTATAGTAAAGGAAAATCATTGTTTTTTATTTCGCCATATAGGTTGTGTGGCCAAAATTTAAAGGGGTTCAAAATATATGTTTTCATCTGGTCAGAGCAGATGGGAAAGTTTGACTTTGACGCAGAAACCACGAAGCCATGATACCAACTTGGCAACAATGTAATGTATGTACTAATCTGGTGGTGGTTCCATATTGATTTGGCTGTTTTTTCATGGTATGGACTGAGCCGTATGGTCCAATAGCACTGATCATTGGACTGAAAATGATTCTATTCAGCTACTAGGAGACCACTTGCAGTCTTTGAGAAAAGGAAAAAAAGGGTATTGTTGAAACTATTTCATTTTTTTAAATACATTACGAATGGCTGTTTTCTATTACTTCAGTAGTATTTCGATTTGTAACACAGAAAAAATAACTAATCAAATTTATAGTAAAGGAAAATCATTGTTTTTTATTTCACCATATAGGTTGTGTGGCCAAAATTTAAAGGGGTTCAAAATATATGTTTTCAGCTGGTCAGAGCAGATGGGAAAGTTTGACTGTGACGCAGAAACCACGAAGCCATGATACCAACTTGGCAACAATGTAATGTATGTATTATTCTGGTGGTGGTTCCATATTGATTTGGCTGTTTTTTCATGGTATGGACTGAACCGTATGGTCCAATAGCACTGATCATTGGACTGAAAATGATTCCATTCAGCTACTAGGAGACCACTTGCAGTCATTCGTGGACTTCATGTACTTCTTAAGCAACAATGGGATTTTTATGGATGACGATGCACCCCGACTTAGGATATTATTTTTTCATGACAGGTTTGAAGAACATTTCGGACAAATCCAGCGAATGATTTTCCAACCTACATCTAACAACATGAATCTCATCGAACTTTTGTGGGATATAATCGAAAGGTCAGTTCTAGGACTTTCGAGATCTTGGAGATCTAATTAGGCTGCATGGCTGAATATTCTTGCAAGAGACTTCTAACTACTCGTTGAGTCCATACCACGTCGAGTTGCAACACTTTGCAGAGATAGAGGATGTCCGACACGATAATAAGAAATACCTCATGTCTTTTGACACCTCAGTGTAGTTCTCATACTTATGGAAGGATTGTGCTCTAACTTGCGTCAGAATTCTACCGGCACGGTTCTCACCAGGTTAGGACCTTGTGGTTGTTGGTAACAATAGCTGAATCTATCTGTAAGGTGCAATCACCTGAAAGTTCGACGATTCTGCATTTGTTGGGAAATCGTTTCATGTACAACCTTTGCGTTTCTCTCCCATTTTCTTTCGCAGCTCCATACGCCTGTCTATATGCTCTTTAGCGTTGAATGCTGTAGAACAGCTTTATATGACGCATTCTTTTATATTCGTACTCTCTTAGACAGAATTTTTTCTGATCAATCTGTATATTTGTAAGCCACTGAAATTAATCTTAGATTTTTAAAACAAATTCTTAAGTCCACATGTATCTTTGGCATGAGGGTTTTCAAGTACTTTATTTTAAAATTATAAAATAAAATATTTTAAAAAACTGTTAAAATGGTAAGTATATGCATAGCATGGTAAATATAATAAAATATGTACGTACCCTTTTCACTCTTTTTCAATTCTTTTTTTCGATGTTTTTCGCATTTTGTGGAGCCAACTACAACAGCAATGAGGCATAACAACAAAACCAAAATAATGATGAACTTCATTTTTATTTTCCTCTGAAAAAATAAGAATAATTTTTTTGTTGAGAAATTACGTTTATAGGAACCATATTTTGATAGAAGAAGAAATCTTCAAAGTACGAAATGCAGGGGTTGGACAAAATAATGGAAACATTTCTATACTAGCACATTTTTTTCCATATTTCTCAAGAAATAATTAGAGGATTATATTAAAACATTAGAAGTGTTTAAGTCATGCGATTTATCATACATATCAATAAAGTTTAAAGGTTTTAGAGCTTTGAAGGACCAGCAATAAAATACGTAAGAAAAAGAATGTTTTTTGAACACCCTATGCCAAACAGTATAGCGACATCATCTTTATCTTCGTGCTCTTCTGCAAATACTGCCAGCTCTGGCCCACATCCCAGTGAAACTATTTTCAAGTAAAAAAAAAAAGGAATACAAAATATTTAAATCTATAATAACAGAACTTCCTTTGAAAGAAATGCGCAAAGCAGCAGAATTTTCATAAAAAAGAATAATTGAAGCAATGAAGAAAAAAGAAAACAATGGAAACAAATATACGGCCACCGAAGCTGGCGTCTTCAGGGGGTACCAGCTCTGGAAGCCATAAAAACAAAACCTTTTCTATTGAGGGAGCCAGACAAATGTCAAAAAATAGCTCTCTTATTACCCCAAAGGTTTTGCAATAGTCCTGAAAGAAATACATAAAATCAAATCAGAAGAAAAATTTTAAACAAAATCATGAGAATATAAAAACTCACAGTAAACTAGTCAAACATCAAATTTATGAAACTAACTCAATGTAAAAGAAACATTTGAAGTAAAAGAAAACAACGCCCCCTATTAAAATGAGCAGTAGGAAGAAAAAAGGATAGGAAAGGTAGAGATTGCGTAACAGATTAATATAATGCTTAACTGGGGCTGCTCTGACAAGACTTGAATTTTGCCCATTTAAAAGAAAGAAATAATAAACTAATATTTCTCAATCGTTTTACTAGGGAAAAATTTAACATTACAGTAATTAAAAGGAAAATCATTATTTCTCAAATTTCTCAAAAAATTATTAGTTGCCTCCTGAAAACGCTCAACGTTATTGCAAATTCTTTTAATTCGAAACAATTGAGAAAAAACTAAATTTTTGAAAATTTTACTGCACAAATTAGTATTAAAATTACAGAAAAAAATAATTTTAAATTTAAAAGCCTTTTGTTTATCGAAAATACCAATTTTAATATTTTATTTTTATCAACAATATCAATTTTAAAATCTAAACATTCAACTTTCAAGCAATTCTCATTAGTTTCTCATTTCGAAACAAAATCTTTAGGATAAATACTAAAATTAAAATCATAATTATCACAATTAAATAAAATTAAATCATCAAAATATCTAAAAGCTTTAAAATCATTAAACTCAAGAAATTTAGCTTCAAAAAAATGTAAAAAAATATTAGCAAAAGCATTAGAAAAGGAATTACTTTGTGGAATTCCAATAATTTGTTTATAAAAATCCAGACCATTAAAAAGGACATTCTCATAAAGATTAAACCAACAAATATCTAACCAATAAGATTTATCAATATTTTCATTAAATAAATATTTGCCAAAAATGACACTACTAACTTCAATAATCTGTGCCTGTGGAATACTAGTGTACAGATTTTCAAAATCAAAAGTATTAATACTAGAAATTACATTATATATGCTCTTCAATAAAGTTTCTAATGGTTTTTTGTACGATTAATTTTCATGATAAAAAATTTGAAATTGCTAAGTTGTCGCAAATTTTTCATTATTGAATTTAAATAAAAGTGATTTCTTGAAATTCACAAACGATCCATATAAATGATTATTTCCTTTAAATGTCAAAGAAGCTTATAGATAATTTACTATTTATTGGTAATTAAATTAGACTTTTGCCGGATACGCCATTTACAAGTCAGGATGAGTAACCACAAAGTGTGGCTAATTAATTTTCAGGACTGGTCTAATAGCTCCTGAAAATATTAAGCGAATCACGAACCCGTTTAATACGTAACGAAATTAATTTCTATTATACTCCATACATTTACGCAACTGTCTTTTAAATCATCATTCTAAATTCTCTTTAATTCTGATCCTATTAATGTCTTTGACGTGCTTAACCTTTCGGTGGTTCATTTATTTTTCTTTTGAATTTTTTTCACAGCGTTTTATGCATTACTAACAACTCAAACTAACATTTAAGGAAACATGTATCATTTTTCAGAATTTTGTGTTTTTGTACGAATTTTATGTTTATAGCGCTTTTACATTCCACCAATTATTTATGTTATAATATTAGATAGTTACTGGCACAAAATGTAATATATATATATATGCACACAAAATAAGAAAATGTTATTACAATGAAAACAATGTTTTACTCACTTTTGCAATGGAAGCGTTGATCAATACAAATGTTACACCAAAGCAGGCGTCATGAAACAAATCTCAAGGAAGTTTGAAAACCTTCAAAACAAATGTGCTAATTCTGTTCAATCAATTGCACAATAGATGGCCAATCTTTCTAATTTTAGACCTTGTTAATTTTAAACCTACCAAAACTTTCAATATCAAAAACACTAAAATCGTTTATCAACTCGAAAACGAATCAAAAAAGTCTAAAATATAAGTTTAACTCTGATTAGCTGGAAGTACTTAGTTTTAAGAAGTAATTAATTCATTTGAATCTGTAGTGCATTCGCGGAAAAGATAGACCGAAAGTAAACAAATAGGTTTCCAGAATTTTGATCAGATTTGCCACTTTTGGATATTTTTTCCACACTTTTCCCTTTTACAGAATTATGCATTTAATATTTATATCCAACAACATGTAATCTCGTTCAAATTTCTTGTTTTGTTTAACATCTGCTCGAGTGTGAGTTTATAAGTCTTCTTTTAATAATGAAAAATAGTTTATATCTAAATAAATTAAAGCTGAAAAAGTTCGCGAAAAATCACATAATTCAACAATAACTTTCGAACGTTTTGAAATTGTTTTAAAAATAAAAATTTAAAATAAAGGGCTCTTTTAGTTTGTCAAATTTTAAATCCGAAGTTGCATACTTCAGCAAATTACAGATCGGTCGAACATGGTCCCCTACGAGTTTTACAGTTTATTAATTTTTTTAACTATTATATAAGTAATATATATGTTATTATATAAATAATAATTTTATTTTATTTCTCAGTACTTTTTGTACTGTTTTTAACACACCTTTGTAAATTCAAGTTTCTAAATTAAAGAGTTTTTTCACAGCAAAGCAAAATATAATGTTAAGTTGAACTCCCAAAGCAGCGACTGCCGTTGCGATATTTTAATATAGATATGAACGTATCATTACGATAAGTACAGTAATAACTGTTTATCAATAGTGTAAAAATGCAGAACAAACGAACAATAAATAAAAACAGAACTTTTCTTGTCCTCCCCAACCCCAGTAGTGGTTGAGAGTTCGGATGCCACGGTACGAAGAATTCCCGTGTGGTGACTAAATGGTGACTGGTGCACGTTAAATCTGTCGGGGTCACAAAGTCCTCTAAGTTCCCATAATAAATTAATAACTCTGGAATTCTCTGGTTCAGTTTACGAAGTGTGGAAGAATGAATTGACTATGATTGGGTCATCCCTGTAAAACGGGCTATGACGCGTTTGCGATTGACAAATGCGCCTTTAATATCCAGTGAGGTGGCTGCGACATGTTTAAAGTTGTTTTTGAGATGTTTTACATTATCTAGAAAATTTTGAAGTGCATAATTTATAGATTTGCCGAAGCGAAAAAAACAATTTTTTTGCCTGATAAAATGTTGTATTTTTCTATGTAATAGTTAATTCTCTTGATAATAAGTTTTTCTAGAAATTTGTCTAAACAAGGGAGTAGTGTAATTGGCCTGTATGATGATAATAGTTTTGGTTTTTTATTAGTTTTCAGAAATAGCAGAACTTGCCCTTCTTCAAAATGATCTGGAAAGCAATTGAGTGAGAGGTACTTGTTGAAATATTTTAGAATTAGATTACCAAAAAATAGAAAAAGTTTTTTGACTTATGTTATCAATACCGTCAATGACAGGGGCTTTATTATTATTTAGAGTTTTAATTAAATTAACTAATTCATTGTATGTAAAAGGTGGGTTAAGATTAGAATTTGGTTAATGGAAATTGTCTATTGGGATTATGTTATCGTCCGGGAAAAGATTCTCTAAGATATGTGAACCTTCTTTTATAGGTGAGTTAGTGTTATATATATCTATAAATATGGAGGGATGAGGATTTGTCTTAAAAGATGTTTTATAGTGCTTTTCAAATGTATTGTTGGTGTTTTCACATAAAAATTTCCAACTATTATATTCAGCTTTGAGAATTTCTTTTTTAAAATGGGCTCTTTTAAGTTTATAGATGATTTTGTATTTGTTAATTTCATCTTCTATTTTTGAACGTTGGTATCTTTTCCTAGTCGCTTTCAGTTCTTTTTGGAGTATCAACAATTTATTATTCCATCGTGTGGGATTTGATTGCTTGCTAAATGCTTTCATTTTATACGAAAGCTTACAAGAATTAAAAATTTTATAGATTAAGTCGTCTGTGAAATCGTTTAGTTGAAATGGGGTGACTATGTTATCCAAATTAATATTTAATTCATTATGAAATTTTGAAAATTTTTTCTTAAATTTGCTATGATTACCGTATTTTGTTTTAAATCTCATAAGGGATGAGAAAGAAAAAGAATTGTTTAGTTGGATTTTAATGTATTTATGATTAGAGTTTGTTTCTGTGACCAAAACTTCCCAATTCGAATAGTTGAGGAGCTCCTGACTATTTGTTAGCTTTAAATCTGAAAAGGAGGAAATATCGAGTACCGTCAAATGGGGTGACTTTGTGCAACGAGGGGTGACTGGTTTTAAATGCAGAACTATAACATATTTTTGTAAGACGAAACGCTTTCTTCACGTTCTCAACTGATTTTTTAAAACCTAATAAAATATTACTTAAACTTTTTTTAAAGTCTTCTAATGGAAAAATGATCAAACGTGCTTTCTTTATATTCTGAAACTGATTTATTTTAAACTTAATAAAATATTACTTAAATTTTTTTAGCGTAGCTCATCTTTCGGATAAATGATCAAACGTGCTTTCTTTATATTCTGAAACTGATTTTTTTAAACTTAATAAAATATTACTTAATTTTTTTTAGCGTAGATCAACTTTCAATTAAATGATCAAACGTGCTTTCTTTATATTCTGAAACTGATTTATTTTAAACTTAATAAAATATTACTTAAATTTTTTTAGCGTAGCTCATCTTTCGGATAAATGATCAAACGTGCTTTCTTTATATTCTGAAACTGATTTTTTTAAACTTAATTAAATATTACTTAAATTTTTTTAGCGTAGCTCATCTTTCGGATAAATGATCAAACGTGCCTTCTTTATATTCTGAAACTGATTTTTTTCAAACTTAATAAAATATTACTTAAATTCTTTTAGCGTAGCTCATCTTTCGGATAAATGATCAAACGTGCTTTCATTATATTCTGAAACTGATTTATTTTAAACTTAATAAAATATTACTTAAATTTCTTTAGCGTAGCTCATCTTTCGGATAAATGATCAAACGTGCTTTCTTTATATTCTGAAACTGATTTTTTTAAACTTAATAAAATATTACTTAATTTTTTTTAGCGTAGATCAACTTTCAATTAAATGATCAAACGTGCTTTCTTTATATTCTGAAACTGATTTATTTTAAACTTAATAAAATATTACTTAAATTTTTTTAGCGTAGCTCATCTTTCGGATAAATGATCAAACATGCTTTCTTTATATTCTGAAACTGATTTTTTTAAACTTAATAAAATATTACTTACATTTTTTTAGCGTAGCTCAACTTTCGGATAAATGATCAAACGTGCTTTCTTTATATTCTGAAACTGATTTATTTTAAACTTAATAAAATATTACTCAAATTTTTTTAGCGTAGCTCATCTTTCGGATAAATGATCAAACGTGCTTTTTTTTATATTCTGAAACTGATTTTTTTAAAACTTAATAAAATATTACTTAAATATTTTTAGCGCAGCTCATCTTTCGGATAAATGATGAAACGTGCTTTCTTTATATTCTGAAACTGATTTTCCTAAACTTATTACGGTATTACTTAAATTTCATTTTAGCGTAGCTCTTCTGTTGAGTAAGCGTTCTGAGCAGCGTCATTTAATTTCGTTATTAGTTTTATAAAAAAATATTGTTTGGATACTTTTAAAGTAGTTATTCATTCACCATTCTTTTAAATTTTTGATATATTCTTTATTGAAATTAAACTGTTTATTTTAACGATTTCTAACAGTTTGGTTTTCCTCGGGCAGATTTGGTGAGTTGGTTTCCATCTTTGTCAGCGCACCAGCAGTATCCAGTTGATCCGTGGCACTGTACTTGGCTGTAGCTACCATCTGCATCACATTTCGGAATGAAGTTGCCAACAACGTCTGAAATTTTTTTTAAATTAATGTTTATATAAAATTAAAATTTCTTGGTAAAAAAACTTTTTAAACATGAAATTTAGATAATTCCTAGTATTGAAATATTATTATTGTGGATTTCAAAATATTAATATTGTATATTTTAAATTAAAAATATTTATCATAAGCAATATTGATTCATTTCTGAGAAATTCACAGGGATTATCTATGGTAATTTTTTTTACTGAACAATCATAATGTTTTTATTTTATTTAAAAAATATTTACCAAGTAAGTAAGGTTAATGTAGCATGTGAAAAATGAAAAGTTACAACCCATGAAGTTTTTGTCTGCATTTAAAATCAATACGGGTTATAAATGGCAGGGTGACGTAAATTTTATAAATGCGAATTTTTTTTTTATTGACGAATTGGAATTTTCTGCTGTTTGTAATAAACATAAAGCTAATATGGCTCATTCAATGTGATAAAAACATTATCTTGATCGTTATACTAAAAAAAAAAGATGCATACGAAAAATCTAAATTCTTATTATTCTTACGATACTTTTGTAATTTATATATGCCATTCAATTATATAATATTTCGTATTGTAATTATAATTGAATCGAATAATCCTAAGGAAATTCAATCCTAATATGCTATTCTATTAAATGAGCTTTCGTGTTGTAATTATAATTGAATCAATCTTAAGAAAACTCAATCCTAATATGCCATTCCATTATATGAGCGTATATATTTTATTTATAATTGAATTGTATAATCTTAAGAAACTCAATCAGAAAATGTATTTGAAAAAAGAAAAACTTCATTAAATTCGGACAAAAGTATAAGACAATAAAATTGGTCTTATTGTGTAAATACATAAGAACAGCACGCCTGTCCCTATTCTTAAATTTTTGCCTGTTCTTTAGGATATTTTCATCTTTAAGATATTTTCTTCTTGATATGAAGCGTCGAATTCAAGTGCTCAAAACATGCCAATATTTCTTTTTTTTCAATCATGAATCAAATAAAAAAATTTTTTAATTTTCAAATTTGTAATTAAAATTTCTGCATTAGTTAAAATAAATTCATGATTTATTTAATTTTCTTAAAAAAAGGGATTTTATACGAGTCATTTTGGATGTAGTTTAAGGTATGATAATATAACGGAAATGTCGAAATTCCAACTTTTAGTATTTGGCTTTAAGTCTCTATTCTAATTTTTTTTTTCCATTTTACTGCCAATAGTTTAGTTTGAAATAAATAGTTTCAATTTGGAATCAAATAAAAACTTATTTAATACTTTAGCAACGCCATGTTTGTTTTATAACATTTTAAAAATTGTTTACGTATTTATCTAAAAAAACTATTGGTTTTAACTGACTGGTATTATACTCCAATTTAAATAAATAAACTTTAATAACGTAGGATGTCTAAATTCAAGAAAATATGGTGGTCCCTTTATTAAGAGTATGCCATATTATATTGGGGTTTAATAATTGATTTTGGTTTACTTCAAATTAAATTAAATAATTCAATTCTGTAGAATATCTAAATTCATGTAAATATTATAGAACCATAATGAGGAGTTACTCCCATGATACATTTTTTTACTTCATTTGTAAAAATGGAATGGGCTGTGGTTTACGAACAGCCACCCTCTATGAATGCAGGTAAGAAGTGTAGACTTTAAAATTATGAAAGGATGTATGAATGAAGGATAAAGTATATGAACGGCTTTCTACCCATATGTGCAGGCTCGGCTCTAATTTATAAATAAGTCACCCTATGTAAGATGGGATGGCAATTGAATGGTTTATTCCTTATTTAAGTTTGTTATTTAAACTACAACGATTGCCAATTTTAAATGTCTTTTTTTAATTAAATTTTAAAAAAATTATTTCCTTATTTAGTATTTTTGATTACATTTTTCTTCCTATTAGGAGTTTTGTTAAATAGTTTTTTCCAAATAATTTTTGTAACTAGATTTCCAAATAATGTTTATAATTAGATTTTTCTCATAGATGGCAGCACTTGCTTCATTTTTTTCCGACCAAATATATTTCTAATATTATTTTGTACGATTCGAGCTATAATCACAACTTTTATTTTCTTCTTCGCGAAATTTATAACTGCAATTTAGTATTTCTACTTTTAAACCATTTCTGACTTTGCTACACTCCGGTAAAATTGGTTTCCGCTTTCTTTTATTTAATACTCTTTTTCAACTGAATTTTTATTTTTAGCCATTTAGTGACATTATGAAGAATAATTTTTATCATAGAATAATTATTCTTTTTTCAGAAATATCTCATTTATTTATAGTGAAGAATATGCCCTGATGAAGACCTTAACTTTTTTTCATTAAAAGTTTTTCTGTTTCTTATTATTTTCTTCTTATTTGTGTTTATATATATATTTACTGGGGAAAATCCTTTTCATACCTCAATTTTAATAAAATTAAACAATAGCGTATGCAATCTAAATTCACGTAAAAAAAGAGAGGTGAAAACTTTATTAATAGTATGTTATATGAATATTATACAAAGAAAAATACAATGTACAAAGAAATAAGTGTTGGAAGTGCTGTTAATAACTTTAAAGCATACAAACGTTAACGACAATCTTATTCTCATAAGAAATTAAATATTAAATATTGAACGGAAAGAAATCTTGAAATAAACTTAGAACTATTGTAAAAAGACGACTACAGTAATTGAAGTCGGACATCATAACAAATTGTCAGTTACGAGAAATTTAAATTACGGAGCATTTCTGATTTAAATTTTATAAAATTCATAGAAATTTTCAGTATAATTGTAGATTTTTATATTTCGATAAAGTTCAAGCTTTACTGTTCAACATTTTATACTTAATTTTGGCATAAAATTTAATTCAATATTTTAAATACTAGTAATACTCATAAAATTAAGGTCTCGAAAGGATTCTTATAACAATGGATAAATAGTGATGATTTCTTAAAGGAAAGACATGAGAAAAATATTCGGTAAAAAAATTACTCAAAATTGCAATAACGTTTGAACAAATTAAAATTAAAAACAAAACTCGTGTTAACATTATGAAAAAGGTCTTTCAGCCAGACAAATTTTAATTTATTAGCATTTTTACAGGATATACAGTGGCTCGCATTGTATTTTTTGCAAGTTTAACAGATTCTCGAGCAAAATATATAATGTTATAGTATTTTATTTATTATATCGTACGTCCTGTACATTTCTTACATACTCACGTAAATTTATTCTCATAAATTATTTATTTAAAATTTTTCAATATTCCTTTTATTCTCGTAAATTTATATATCCGCATTTAATTTGTCATATTTATTCGTATTTTTAAATTAGAAGATATTGAATCTAATAATAATTCATGCAAAGTGAATTAAATTAGTTCGGATTATGTATAAAGTTTTAATGTTGATACTAAAAAAACATCCCTATAAGAATATTTTTTTAAAAAAATTTCTAATTAAATTAAATTAAATTTTTGTTCTTATTTTCCGGCTTTGGATTACTCGGTGAAGCTTTTAAACAGTTAAGACAGCCGAACAAACCTCTTCAAAGGAATGTGCCAAAAATTTATTTGTTTTTGATTCCTGGAAAGAATTAAGACATCAACAATTCCCTTTTTCTTCGCCAAATTTGAATGTAATATTTTTAGTAAATATAAATCTTACTTTTAGCCTGTTCTTGTTGTCTTTGCAATTGGCATGCAGTTTGGGCTCCAATTACCATAGCAACGAGGCAGGAGAATAAAGCCAATACAGCGAAAACCTTCATGATTTATATTTCTGGAAAAAACATGTTCTGTATTATATAATGAAACAATTTTGAAATATTGAAGTAAAGTCTATATTTTAAACAAACTTTACTTCATAAATGTTTATATAAGAATTTTTTAATCAATCATATAAAAATTAGAGAAAGACATATTCTCTGTTCAATCATATTTGATAATCAATATACAAGGGATTCTGTTCACTGAAAAAGTATAGTAAAAGCTACAAAATTTCGTTAATAATTAACGTATTTCTTGCTCTATGGGAACACCAAAAAATTTGGTAATTTTTACCGAAGTGGTTAGGAGTTCCGTAAAATAAACAGTGAAATATACTTTTAAAATACATAATAGAATTTGGTAAATTCAGTAATTTTATCATGATACCTTAAATCATGGTATAAGGCCTATTGTTCGGTTAAATTTGCTTTACAGTTTTGTATTTTTTACTGAATATGTGTTAATAAAAGCTATAATTTCGAAAACCAAAGTTTTCGGTAAACCATTACCATACGAACAGAAAACATTATTAAATAAATAATTTAAATACCATCTATTTTGGTTTTAATACCAGAATTTTGATTTTTCTTCTTACCAGAAATGTCCTTACCTTTTGTTAATAACAGAATATTTTTCTACGTGTAATGATTGCCCTTATATTTGCAGAATCCCTTTTAATAATAAAGTATACACATTAGGGGTTGCAAAGTAATGCTTGATAGAGGAAAATAAGAAAAAAGAACAGAAGAATCGAAATCTACCAAATAACTAAGTAGGAAGATGGAACTGAAAAATTTTAAAACTTGTTTGATTGCCGGAGAAATTGATGGGAGTTGAAGGGTGGTTATTAGAAACATCTCCAGGTTTTATTAGTCAATGACGCTGGTTTTCATGTTTATCCGACGTAGAAGTTAGTCACCATTCATAGATAAACTATTTGTACGAATTTTATTGCAAGAAAAAAATTTGCAGGATGTTCCGCAATGACCACCATTAATATATAATCTTAAAATCCTTCTAAGGACTTGAGTAATAAAATTACATATATGAAAAAACTAACTTTTTAGAGAGAGAAAAATTAAAATGCCCTTTAAATGTGTCGGATCACTAGCGAGAAAGGTGGGCCGAAAGGATCGATCTTCTGTCTAATTCCTCCGAAAATCAAGCAGGTTTGGATGACCTTTCTGACCCATGACCTTTCTGACTAGGAATACAGCACATTCATATATCTTTTTCTCACCTCAGCTCAAATATTATTTACTAATTGGAATATAATTTTTTTGCTTAAGATTTGAAATATATATACTAAGTGCAACTACTATAAAACCCACCGTAAGTGTCAATAACTACAGTTTTACTTGTGCTATATATTCTTTTTCAAATAATTTGTTCTTCTAGGGTTAAAAGAAAAAAGAACAGAAATTCCATTAAAAATTGATTTAGAGATAAGCTTAAAAACAAAGGTATTCATCTCTTTGAAGTATTATAATTCATACAATTCGAAATAATTCATGCAAATTACAAATGTAATATAATTCATACAGTAAAAAGCACTTGTATATAAGATTTTACTAAATTTTATTTTTGAATCAAAACGAGAAACCTATACGGGATGTTAAAATTTGATAAAAACATTTACATACTGTGACATAGAAAAAATGAAGTCACGAATGCTAAGAGTGGCGGTTTTAGGGACAGTGAATAACATAAAAAAAAAAGATAGCTAGCAGATATTATGAACAAAAACGATTACAATTTCTTTAACATGCAGTGCGATTATAAAATAATTTTGCCATGACGCTATGGTAATCTTACCATTTAAGTGAACGGAATAAAATTTTGTGAATGAGTATTATGATCTATGTGCTCAAGAATGATGCTTAAAACGATTGCAGTTACAGTGACAAAATTTGGAAATTTCCAAACGATAGCACCCACTTTTTTTTAATCGAAATGTAATCTGTATAGTAAGAAACCTAACGATATTTTTAACAAAACTGAGCGATATTTTTAACAAAAAAAAATTTTAGGCTTTTGCCAGGAAATGTCTTTACAAAACAAATGTCTTTACAAACTTTACAAAACACCAAAATTCTTTTTTCTGTGTAGAGATGCTATTTTTCATAAATCTGTGTGCATACAACGTATTCTAATTTAAATTTTAACAAATAGTAATTTAAGTTTGCTCATCATCAATAATTTGTATGCTTAAATTTTGATAAAAATAGTTAAGCTTTATCAAATATTTTAATATAGGGTAAATATTCAATATAATATAGAGACTTACCAAAATACACTCTAAAACGTTGTAAAAGATCTTTAGATTCTGCTTGAAATGCGATGTGAATAGAAACTTTTCTGAAACTTTATATATTCACTGAAATATTTATAATTTGTCGTTTTAAATGCTAATAAAAATATTATTATTACATAGAATAGTCATTATTCTTTTACTAGCTTAACTTTTATCATATTGTTTTTATTAGTTTCTGTAAGACTTAGGAATGTACTTTTCCTTGTTTATTCAACTGATTGACTCATAAGAAATATTAATCATTTTGATTTATTAACGTTTGTAAAGAAAATTTATCTAGCTGCTTAGTTTTTTTTTTACTACAGCAACGAATTATTTTCCCACAATAGAATTTGATTTTTTGTATAAAGACTATTTATGATTTCATTTATTTCAATTGAGAGATATTAATTGAGATATTAATTAATGATATTGAAAACTTATTCAAAATTTTATGATTTTAAAATTAAATGAAGGGTTAGTCAGACAGTATTGTATTGTGTATCAATGTATGTGTTGTATATCACAGTATTGTATTGTGTATCAGACAAATGTATTGTGTATCAAGGTATTTTTTTCTAAAATTTTAATTACCGTAAAGAACTAGCCATAAATTTAAACTTCTATGCTTATTTATAAATTCTGTGATTCTAAATTCAAAGAGAAATGGTCAAATGCACCGTGCATCAATGTATTTTTTTTCTAAAATTTTAATTACCGCGAAGAACTGGCCATAAATTTGAACTTCTTTGCTTAATTATAAATTCTGTGATTCTAAATTCAATGAGAATTGATCAAATGTACTGTGTATCAATGTATTTTTTATTCTAAAATTTTAATTACCGTAAAGAACTGGCCATAAATTTGAACTTCTTTGCTTAATTATAAATTCTGTGATTCTGAATTCAATGAGAATTGATCAAATGTACTGTGTATCGATGTATTTTTTATTCTAAAATTTTAATTACCGTAAAGAACTAGCCATAAATTCGAACTTCTTTGCTTATTTATAAATTCTGTGATTCTAAACTTATTGAGAATCGATCAAATGTACCGTGTATCAATGTATTTTTTCTATAATTTTAATTACCGTAAAGAACTAGCCATAAATTCGAACTTCTTTGCTTATTTATAAATTCTGTGATTATGAAAGCAACTAAACTCGTTAAGAAATGTTAAAAAGTGCTGAGCATCAATGCATTTTTTTTCTAAAATTTTTATTCACTGTTAAGAACTAGCAGTAAACTCCTTGAACTTCTGTACTTATTTATAAATTGTCTGTTTATAAATACAAATAAACTCGATGAGAAATAATCAAATGTACTGTGAATTAATGTATTTTTAAAAAAAAATAATTTAATTACTGTTAATACTAGCCTTAAACTTGAACTTATGTCCTCATTTATAATTTCTGTGTTGATAAACACAAATAAAGTCGATGAGAATTAATCTAATGTACAAATGCACAAGAAAAAACAGCTTCTTTTATCTGACTCTCCTCTCGGCCCCACGTAACTTTTACTGTTACTCACATTCATATTAACAAAGACCTCTTCATTGATATTTGAAGTTATTCATAGATAGGGATAAGTGGGAGCTGTGATGGCCCAGGGTATAGAGCATTAGCCTTCTAATGTCGTGGACCGGGTTCGAATCCCAGCAATGGATGGCCGATACAAATTCCGCATTCAGCTTGTACCGACCACAGTGCTGACGTAAAATATCTTCACTGCTAAACGGATCATGTGTCAGACTCCCCTTGCCGTCAAGTTAACCACGGGAGGTTCCCGTGGTCTTCCTCTCAATGAAACGCAAATGCGAGTTAATTCCATCAAAAAGTCCTCCACGAAGGCAAAATATCACTCAATACTTGATCCAGGATTTCCCCTGTCTTCTGGATTGGGCATGAAATTACAAGGCTATGGAGTTGAACATTAGCAGTAGTAAACAAAAATAATTGGGACGGCTGTTCAACGACAGTTGTAAAATAAAAAAAAGGTCATGAATAGGAAAATAGCTTCCCATTGCCATTAACAAATTTATTTTCCACAGCCTTATGAAGTATTAAGCAGGATGTTCCACAGTCACCATCCTTAATGGATATTTTTAGTCCTCCATTATGCGTATTTTTAGATTGTTTACCACCGTAAATCAACTGGTCCGTCTTTTTAAATAAGTAGGTTTTCAAGTATTCTGTGATTTAAATTCGTACAATCAAGTATCAAGGCAATATGTAAGCATATTAAGCTCTTAATCCCCAAGTGAGGAGTGGATTTAATTTTCGTCCTTCACGTACTCGTATGGTATAGAGGAAATGATGAATTTGTTATTAAAATGCTAAGTACAATATATGCTAACACTAAAAAATGAAAGAAAAAGGGAAAAAAATAAGCTAGTTATCTAAATAGCACTTTTGATGGATAATAAATTAAATTAGCAGCTTTGTAAAAATCAAACTGGGTACTTACTTACTATCATATATGGCAGTACTTTTACTTTCGTTACTTGTACTTCCGGTACAAGTAAAAAGTACGTTCTTTTACTTGTACTTCGTTACTTTTTAAATTTAATACTTTTACTTGTACTTTCGTTACTATTTTAGGGAAAAAGTACAAGTATTTGTAACGGAAGTGTCGAATGGAATCGTTACTTTTTTCTAAAACTCGGTAAGCTTTCTAAAAAAAAAAATTAATTAAAAAAAATGTTTATGTTTCTTTAATTTATAAAACTAATGTACAATATATATGCAGTCACAGCTAACTTCGTGTTTAAATACCTTGACCTTGAAAAATTGTCAAAGCTCTTTTAATTGGTTGGAAGAAAAAGCTAGGGAGGAGGCTACAAAAAAATTGGAAAGAATTGTCAAGCGCTGAATACCCTGCTATAACTAATAACGTAACAGAAATAAAACCCAGGGATTTTAAATTTTCTAAAGCTGAGAACATCATGCCAATCACCAGCGACAGACGAATTTATAGCATACATGAACTCAAATGTCGAAACGGAAAGCATATTAATTTTGAATCGATATCCAATCGCAAGAAAATTATATGTGAAATATATTACTGCAGTACCTTCTAGTGCTCCCGTGGAGCGCTTATTCAGCGTGGCTAAGCACGTTCTGAGAAATTCTCGCAGCAGACTCAGTGACACCACTTTCGAAATGCAATTATTTTGCAAAGTGAATAAAAATATTAATTAGCAAGTCATTTTCATTTATTTTCAAGTTTTATGCATTTATTTAATACATTTTAAATAAAAAATGTTGGATTTTGATATTACGTTTTTCAATTTTCTTTTTGAACTCACTAATACATTTTTGTCTTAATACATTTTTTACTAAGTACATTTTTACCTAGTACATTTTTTACTAAAATTATGTTTATGCCCGACCTTGGCAAACAACACCCAGTCAAATCTCTAAGAACTTCCGAACTATTTGTGCAATTGAAAACTATTATAATTACTATTTTAACTCTTGAAAACTCGAAGGTATTAATTTAGCCGCTGATACTAAAATTCGTTTACAAATTTTAATTATTCCGTTAGGCAGAAATGTTCGGAAAATTATTTTTAGTGTGTGTG